TGGCCTTATCGATTTTATCAGTACAATCAAGTTTATCGATTCTAGCTTATCTCGCAATTCATCAAAACGAAACCAACAAAAGATATAAACAAACTGGCAAAACCACTAATAACTTCCTTAAACCACCCATTGTTAATCAATAAAATCTGCCACAACTTTTCATAAGACTCATAAGAAATGATAGTTAACATAAATAATTATAAAAATTCAATATACACAGAATGGTAATGATATTTACTATCATCTCGTTCATACAGTGGAATCCCAATTTTTCGAACCTCCTAGGGAAACAAGAATTGGTTTGAAAAATCAGCAAATTCAAGAAATCACTGGGGTAAAATTAATGTCTGATTGAGTGGAGGAAAATGATATTTGGTCCTAAGAATTCATGAGCTTCAAAAAATCAAGTATTTGAAAAGTTGCAATTTCACTTTCCTCTCGTAAATGTACTTTCCCCCTTAAATGAGTGTCAACTCCTGGACTTGAATCTGTAGAACTAGCTGTGACTCCGAAATTTACTGATCGATCTTTATTTCATTTTAGTGTACGTCCACAAAATCCACCTTTAAAAAGTCCCAATCAAACAGGTCAATGGATACAGCTTCAATTTTAAAGCTTTTTAAACTAGCAAACAAATTAAGTCAATCAAATAAATGCGATGAAATCAATAAAATCTAACTTTGCAGGGCTGTGCTCTAAAGACGCCTGGGGGCTACTAGTCTCCTTCGCAGCCATTATTAGGGTCGTCACGCACTAGTGGGGAGGAGCGTTGCGTGACGACCCTAATAACGGCTGCGAAGGAGACTAGGGGGCTACAGGCACCTAACTTTTGCCTTTGGGCGACTAGAAAATCTTAGTACTTTTTTCATATAAGTTTTAGTGCTGGGCACCCAGGATTTTATGGTTAGGAACCTTTGGGCTCCTCATAATTTGTCTTAGACCACAGCCTTGCTTTGAAACTTCGCCAGCGTGTGAGTATCGAGTTTTATCGATTGACCAACAACATCTATAACACTTAAATTCAGTTTATCAATTGATAACGATTTATCGAGTAGTTTTTTGATATCAAGTTTTATTGATTGACTACCCTGGGTTTATGTTCATGTGTTGGAATTTGGGGATCGAGAAATGCATTCTGCTTGAAGGTCTTGAGGTTGTTTTGCAAGTTTGGTGCATATTGGATTTGGGAAATTTGAAAGTTGGATCTGGATTTAAATTGTACATTTCTTGCATGGCCAAATGTGTACAATGGGACTCAGCTAATACAGTTCAGACAGCAAAGGGGCATGACAACATGCTTAAGTGTCCAGGTATTTTATTGGGACCAAGGTTATCTGAGAAAATATGAGTGTTTCATTGGGACAGGCAGTACTGTTCATGATGAGCGAGTGTCCGTTTTAAGCCCATCAAGATCCCATAAAAAAAGAGATTGATCGCTCACTTGGGAACAAGGGAGAAAATGCAAAGTTTTTAAGGGATCAAGGAAAAATGCTTGACTTGTATTTTCTCCTACCCCTGAGAGGCTCTCTTGTCATGATCAGTTACTGTTGGTACATGATATGGCCCATGTACCTGACTGTAAAACTCTGTGGACCCTTATACATACCTCCAAACACAAATTTCAAGGAATTCAACAGAGTTCCATGAAATTCTAAGAGTAAGGGGTAATATTTTATATGAGACCTACAATTAGCTTGGCTGAGGAAAGTGAATCAACATGTATATGTCTACATGGATGAATTCTGTACTTATCAGATGATTGTGCAGATATGCATTACACTTGAATTTATTTTTCCTAGTTATTTACAATAGTTACCTGAAATACATGTAAACTATGTTGTTTGAGAATTTTATTTACTTATTGTCTATATTTAATGTGTAGTATTTTTTAAGGATTAATTAACTCACAATATAATATTTATATATGTTTACATTATACTTTAAGGCTTTTCTTCAGTGAAAGATGAACACAGATTGAACATAACACTGGCTACAAATGCTGAGGGTTGGAACACAACAGTGAATGGCCAACTAGTTATTGAACTTGCCAAGGATCCAAGAGTGAAGGTCAGTGGACTGGTGCCAAACAGCTCTCAAGAGCAGAAAGAACAAGCCAAACAGTTAAATATTAAGCTTGTTGATGCTAAAAAGCGAATTGGTTTTTCGCCAGAGGAGCGGTTGTCTTTTCCACCTGACAGTCTTGATATTGATATTTTGATTATCCACTCTTATGGACGTGACCTCGGTAAGCAGGCACAGGTTGTTAAGGAGTCCAAGAAGTGCAAGTGGCTTCATGTTCTACACACAGTCAGTGAAGAACTGGAGAAGTACATGGACAAAGAAAGAGCTGGCCCATCATCAAGTGTAACAGACTCTGAACATCAGCTGCAACTAGAATTATGTAAAGAAGCGGACATTCTGATTGCAGTTGGTCCTAAAGTAGCTGATGCTTTCAAATGGGCACTGTGCCATTGTGGAAAGCATATGGATATCATTACTTTAACCCCTAGTGTTATCCAGGAATTAATTGATGTTCGCCCACATCATGAATCTGGAGAAGTATTCCGCATATTGATCAGTGGGACATATCCAGCCAAGTATTTCAAAGTGAAAGGATGTGACATTGCTGCTAAAGCAGTCTCATTGTTGCAAGACACTTCATACTCGCTCATGTTTATCGTCACACCCAGGGATGATGCACAAGACCTCCAAAACCGTCTCGTCAAGGAAGGTATCAAGTTAAACCAGTTCACTGTCCGACGTTTCCACAGTAGCACGGAAAACTGGAGAAAGCTACTGTGCGAAGTGAACCTTGTCATCATGCCCTCAAGAACTGAGGGCTTTGGAACAAGTAGTCTCCGTGCTATTTCAGCTGACCTGCCTGTTCTTGTCAGTGGGAATTCTGGGCTTGGCATGACACTGAAGAAGTTGCCCGCTGGAAAAAACCATGTTGTGGAGTCAGATGATCCCCAGGAGTGGGCTGACAGGATAGCACAGGTTAGAGCAATGGATGCCAGGAATCAGTCTGCAGAGGCAAAGCAGCTACGCTCAGAATACATGGAGCGATTCAGCTGGAAGGACCAATGTAGCAATCTTGTGGACAAAATGATGATGATGTTCCCAAACAAACAAGGTAAGTATTCTCGAGAGTGACAAATTGCTATAAGGTAATGGAAATTGTTGGTAACAACATGGATGGTGTTGAGCCCATGAACTAAATGAAAGAAAAGCCAAGCTGGTTAGGGTGAAGTTCTATAGAAGGTGACAAAAAGTGTTCTTGTTAAGTCTCCAAACAGTTGGCAGTTACTTGAAAGTTTGTTGGGGATCATCAGATGGTACTCAACACTCTTCCAGTTATCAGCTGGAGACCATTTCTAAGAGGTTAAAGTTAACTGAAATTTGCCAAAATTATCTGATAGCTAAGAAATTAAATGGCCCACATTATATTAACGGATGACTGAAAATCAACCCAGATACAGACCTTCTGTGAGAACAGACCCAAATGTGGTTGGGGGTGGGGGAGGCATAATACATGTTCTTAGGTACAATGCTGCTGTTCCTTGCACTCTGCACTGCTCTTTGAGTCTTTTATTATGTCAAGTGTCAACGTAATATTCAAGTTGGCACTAGATATATATTAAGTGAATATTTTATTATAGTCCAATAGAGTTATTATTGGGAGACGCAGTGGCCTTATGGTTACTGCGCACATCTCCAGATCGAACGGTCTGAGTTTGAGCCCTGGCCGGGGACATTATGTTGTGTATTTGGGCAAGATACTTTACTCTCACAGTGCCTCTCTCCACCCAGGTATATAAATGGATACCAACAAACTTAATGCTGGGGGTAACCCTGCACTGGACTAGCATCCCAACCAGGGGGGAGTCAATAAGCTCTGACCTGATAGTCCACTTGGCTCTTATATACAGCCTTTACTACTATGTTACAGTTATTACATAATAATTTCTATTTTTATCATTTTAAACTATTTTTAATTATATTAAATGATTGAGTACATTGTGTATCAACTGAAAAGAAAACTTGGAAAAACTCGGAGATTTCATTAACATATTCAGCAGGAGGGTGACTGGCTTTCACAGGCAGGCAAAATGTTTGAAGTGAACCTCTTCCAAAGAAAAACTTTCCTCTAGATGGCAAACCAGGAGGGAAAAATCATCCTCACAGACAGTCAGTTTGCCCAGTGCCCACCCTTTAATGAAACCCCTGAACTTTGAAACTGATCACAAGTCCTATTTTTTTCTGAGTTTTCAGTTGATTCTATTTCTGTCATGCAATTATTTCTTATATTATTATTATTTAATATTTATATGATTTTACAGACTTCTTGTAATAATGCTCACTGTTGGAACTTTTCATTTTCATCTGTTTTATAGAGGGCATTAAGAAATGCGCTGAGCACACTGAGGAAAGTGAACAAGGGAAGAACCTAGAGCCAAAAATCACAAGCTTTGAAACTGAGAGAGTGGTATATGAGGAAAATTTCAACTTCATCACACGAGGGACGAAAAAGTTAGGCCTTGCAGATATGAATCTCAGCAAAGCAGGAAAGAGTGAATTTGACCAGGTGGACAGTCCAAGAGTCCCACTAGCTTATGTTGCAGATAAGAGGTCAAGTGCAGATCAGCTAAAAAGCAATCGGCTCTCAACCAAAGTCATAGACATTCCTTATGCTATTCTAGGTAAGGTTTGCTTAAAACTAAATGCAAAAGATTCTATGTTTTATAAAGATTATCGTTTGCTTGGAGAAATGATGGGATATAGTAAAGATGTGACACGAGATTTGGAACGCAAAGATAATCCTACTGATGCACTGCTTCAACTGTGGTCCATAAAGCCTGAGGCAACTGTGCAAAATCTCATTGCATTATTGAGAGACAGTGATCTTGAGCGAGTGGATGTTGCAACAATTCTGGAGGACTGGGTAGAAAGGAAGGGTTCAAAATGAGCAAACAAAAACACTAGTATTCAAGGAATACACCCTACAACCAGCTTCTCTTCACTAAATGCAAGTTGTTAATGTTTGTTAACTTCCTATGCCTGAAAAAGGCCCTGTTCAATCCTTGTGGCCCATCTGGCCAATGCTTATTTTTGGTTTCGTAGCACAAAACAACAGGAACATTTCTATCTCCAGGTATTCCGGTTTCCCCCTCTCCTCAAAAACCAACATTTCTAAATTCCAATTCGATCTGGATTATTGTCGGGCACTATATCATGAGCCTCTGGCTCGGGTGATTGCGCAAGCACTCCCTGTGTTTGACATTAAATTTGTATTTACATTTTGCATTTATTTACCTGCGAACCTCCAAGAGTGACAAATCTGGCTTCATGTGCGGCCATTTTTTGCTTGTCTAATGCAAGAACGCACAATGACATGAAGGCAAGGCAGTGTTAATCGTGGATTTTTTATATTCAAACAAACTTTTAGAACAGTCATATAATTTTCTCCTGTCTATATTTTTTGTGGAAAAGCGGAAGACTCCCAGCCAAACCAGGAGACCAAAACCAATCAGGCTGAAGAGGCTACAATATGGCCATCAGCTTTCTCGTTTTTCCAAAGTTTTCGAGGAACATTTAGAAACAAATAAATATAAATTAAATTCCTAAGAAGACTAAAAGGAAGACATTAAAAGTGTGTAGACATTAAATATTAATCTCAAAATTGTTGAAAAACTGATGCGAGCATATGCAATTGTAAATTTCAAGCGACCACTCAGTCCATCCAATCTTTCTTAAGCTAGAAGTTTAAATACTAGAGGTCATACCGTGTAGAGACATTGGAAATTTCAGTTAGAATTCTACTAAAACAATTACATTATGAGCTTGAGATTTCTATGAGGAATAAAGTTTAGTTCTGGCCTCATCAACTATCACCTCATAGAAATCATGAGCTATAACTATTATTAATTATAAGTCATAAGAAAATTGCTGTAACAGCTATGACTATAAAATAATGTAAAATTATTGAATAATTATTGAATCAAGTGGAAATGCATGGCAGAAAAAAAAAAAATAAAAAGGTAGTAGGTGTATAAAATAATTAGACTTATCACAAGTCGACCTCATTAGTTTCTGGGTAGAATAGCCACGGAGCGGAGCGACACAAAGCGCGCGAACTTGACATGATTACCCTTAGAAATCATGCACCGCGGTCATATATGACATAACTACCCGTGACCTTGAGTGTCCTTGACATGATTATTGTATAATCTGCAGCTAGATGACGTCACAGGTGCTGATTTCGAAAATGCAATGTACGCTTTCGGCCAATCAGAAAAGAGATAGTGAGTTCAATGGACAATAATTTTAGTTAACAAGTGCGGATCAGTGGTATACACAGGATTTTAGATTTGGTTAGACGGAAGTTTTCAGTACGTAGCACGTTTTTTGTAAATGTCTCAATAGATTTTGAGCTGATTGTGTTAATCCCTTTATTTACTTTATTCATAGTTAGGAATTTTGTAAATTTTAATAATATATTTTTTTTATTTATTGTTTATTTATTGTTTATAGTTGTAATTTAAGTTTCTCAGCCACGACTGTAGAGTGTTTCCATCGATAAATAAAATTATTATTATCATTGTTAGAGTATTACTACAGAGCATTGTTTGTAGCAGGTGTAAAACATACTGTTTAATATCTCATTATTCTTCTAAGAAGCCGTTATTAGGGTTGTCACGTGACAGTGCAGATATACTGCTACAATAGAATCCCGATTTTTCGAATCTCCAAGGGAAACGGAAATTGGTTCGATAAATCGGAGAGTTCGAGAAATCGGGGGTAAAAATACAGTGTTCGACTGAGGAGAGGGAACGGCTTTTGGTTCGAGTTATCGGGAGGCTCGAAAAACTGAGGGTTCGGGAAATTGGGATTCCACTGTATTTCATCTACTCAGGAATGCCTCTATATTTCTCCGCGGTATATTGTACCATCTCTGTATCCCTTTATAGACTTAGTAGGCTAAAAGGGTCCTATTTCTTTTAGAACATTCTGCGACGTAAAAAAAGAGAACATCTTGTTTACATTGATCATCAAAATGTAAACTCTCTTTGCTCGTGCCATCATAACGTCAACAGCTTGTGCTTGTAAAAGTTCTGTGTTTCTATAGAGTTTTAGGAAAGATTTAGCGTTCTATCACGAATGCAGATCTCTGATTGGCTACAGTATGCTACTCACTACTCTGTTGTTAATAGTGAGTGGCCTAGCTGTACCTGTGCGCTGAGGCTGCTGCTTTGCGTATTCGAAGTGTCTAACTGAAGAGAGTTTATATTAAAGTTTTGAACGACCACTAGATATACACCAAAACAATTAGATTACTCGCTGTTGATTTCTATGCGTGATAGTCGGCTTGGGCTGCGCCCTCGTCAACTATCACGCGATAGAAATCTCGAGCTCATATATAAGCTTAGTCTAATTGTTAAATAGTAACACGTTTTTAAACTAATCAGTGGGCGTATTTTGGGGGGGCTATTTTCTAAAACTCGGTAGAAACACAGTACATTTTGGCTTCCTTCCGCGCTCGACGTCCGTGATTTAGCTGAGTTAGTGGCACATGATACACCAGCGAAAATAATTAGCAGCTGATGTAAAGAAGATCACTGCACGAAGAGCAAAAGGAGATAAAGAAGAATCTACTCACATCGAGAAAACCCACAGTTTTGACAGTTACGACGAGACGGCCAAAAATACTACCATTTTTGCGTGTAAAAACACACACCAACCAGGTAGCCCCTTGTAATTTCTGTGACATATAGCATAGCTGTAACCTACAGCTGTAACTTGTTCCGGGATCCATTATGTTTGTAGGAGGAAAAAATAATCTTGCATTATAATACCACAGGTCGCCCAAGCTCATGTATGTTTGCGTCATTATCACTTTACGAGACATACAGTGTACATTTTTGGATAAGGGTAGTTAATATTAGTCATGCACGACCGTCAATGTAAGAGATCGTATGGAAAATATTCCTGTTGCTGTTAAGTGTACAAGATTGGCAATAACATTTTGGTTAAAAAAAGCGGTTTTGGTAGCTCTTAGCGTGTTAAGCCTCAAAACTCCACAAAGGCAGCTTTTGCAGGACCTTTTAGGGCACTGAGCAGAAAAACTTATGAGAGGAGAAATGTGTTTTAGTGGTGAACAAAAATTTAAGCCACGTCCACAAAACAGGATCTTGGTACCATTTAAGGGGGTCTTAAACCTTAAAATTATTATTTTTATATAAAACAACTCTGTCGGACAGTTTTGTTTGTAGCCTGACTTCATAAATGAGCTTTTCCAGGTCACATACCACAAAACTAAATGGATAACTAGCCCCTAAGTGTTAAAATGTGGTGTTCAGCATTCACACAATAACGTCATAATGAATGATTCGTGAAGCATGAAATTAGGTTCATCCTGTCCATAAGCAAGTTGTCCAGGGAGCAAACCTCAGAAAACCGGCAGTGTTTTTAGGGTTTTTTCCTCTTGAAATGGCAAAAAGTTTACTAATGTTAACTAATATTAACTAATATTAACTATATTAACTTAATAACAAGGAAGCGTTTTGGAAATTGTAAATTTTAGAGGTTTACAACCTAGATAGTTGTATCCTTTACCAATCGTGAAAATTGGACAACATTCGGTTGAAACCCAACGGAGAAATCCTCTACGAGATATCGGTGATCCGTCTATTTGGTCATTTTGGCCTCCGAGAGCCCAAATTAGCCCTGTGATCAAGGGTGGGGGGCGGGAAGGGGAATACCCCAATACACATACACTGGTCATAGAAATGTTAACCAAGTATAAGCACAGGCGTCCCAAACTCACGATTCGAGGAATCGATCAAATATTAATGATTTATGTACGCGTATCGAGTGAGATGTGACTGCCTTAAGGTCATTCGCCAGTATTGCATTGCGCATCCTTACTGTGCATAATTTATGGCGTCATTAGCGCGCGCTCGTGCACGCGCATATTGAAAACTTGACGGATTTG